TCTGATGCAACTTGGTGATCTCAACCATATTTTAAACCACAGTATCATTCTCTTGCTCTCATTCTGTAGCTTATAAAATAGGTCCAGTCAAGCAGAAGTAAACTTCTTTGTGAAATCTTCAATATGTCATGTTTAAAGACTGAGTTTTGAAGGTAGCAGAAAAGGTGAGAAAGAACATGGGCTTTAGAGAAAAACCACTTCGTTGTTGCCTGTTAGATGAACTTTGGTCAAGTTACTTAACCACAGAGTTTAAATTTTCCCATCTGTAAAATTGGAATAAAATTGAGGCATTTATTAAGTGGACTAAATACACACAAAGATACGTGAAAGTGCTTAGCACATAGTAGGTGCTAGCTTATATTGGTTCTCTTTCCTTTCCCTCCTCACCATAAAACAGCTTTTATTACATTTTGATTTAATATTATTTTACATATTTTCAATTTTGCCTTAATTCTAGTTCCCACTGACCTTTTGTTAGATTATTTTAGTAGTCTATGGTAAGGTAAAATTTTACAAATATGTACAAAGAGACCATATATAGAATTCATCAGGGCATGGATTTGGGGTGATTGTTGGGGAAGGTCTGAGTTTCAGTTGTGTTATGTACTCAAAAGATGTTTTATCTTCTTGTCATAAAAAATATCAACAATGCTATCTTCATTGGTTGGCATATTGGGCTTTTGGGCTGGAAAGAACCAATTCCTTCATGTTTCATATTAAGAAATTAAGTCATGTATCTGGTAAGTGGTAGAGTAAGGGATAAGAATTCAAATCGAATTCTTATTCAATGTTCTTTTTACCGTATTATACTTTCATGTAAATGAAATTATTTTCATTTAAATGAAATATAAAATTTAAAGGGGTTTGTTATTAACATGATAATGTTGGACCAAACTTTCTTATTTTTAAATTGGGGAATGGTGTGTTTTTCCCAGGATCCATCAGCACCAAGTCAAGTTGTCCTTCAATCTTAGTTGTGGAGGGCACAGCTCTGCTCTATGCCCAGTCGTTGTTTTCAATCTAGTTGCGGGAGAGTGTGGGGTGGGGGAGTGTGTGGGGGGGTGCAGCCCACCATCCCATGTGGCAGTCGAACCGTCAACTTTGTTGTTAAGAGCACACACTCTAACCAACTGAGCTATCAGTCTGCCCACTGGCAGCTCAGCGGCATCTCAGCTCAAGTCGTTGTCTTCAATCTACTTGTGGAGGCTGCAGCTCACTGGCCCATGTGGGAATCGAACCGGCAACTCTGTTGCTCAGAGCTCACGCTCTAACCAGCTGAGCTGCCCGGCTGCCCCAACACAAACTTTTATCATATATATTTAATGTTTTGAATAGGTAATACATGCCCAGGGTACTAAGGTACATAAAAGTGTCCTTTAGCTCTGCCCCAGCCACAACAGGCCACTACTTCTGTGTGCATACACGTATTCCATATATTCTATCATTTTACCCAAATGTAATCTTTTATGTACTGTGAATTTTTTTCACTTAAAATTGTGAAAATAATATATTGTAAATGGTATGTATTTGCCTCTCAGATCTCCATTATCACCTCTCCTTACTCTCAGTGGTTGTTAATTAATTAATTGATTTTTCAATGCAAGAACAAGTCAATGCATGATTTTTTCATTGCATGAACTGAGCACTGGGTCAGGCACTATTCTAGGCTCTGTGAGTGGAGGAGTGAACACGATAGAAGAAAACGGCTGTCTTCATGGAGCTTACCTTCTTGCTTTTGTGGTTGCTGATATCACAGGGGTACAAAGAACAGTCTCTGTGATAGACCAGAAGAGGGAGATAAGATGAATTTCTTCAGACATGATCCGAGGAAGCTTTAAAGAAAAAGTGGAAATTTATCTGGATTTTAAGTGGTGGGTAGAACTGGGGAAGAAAGCGTACTCTAGCAATCATGTATTAGAATTATATTTTTGTTGTTTCAGTCTTGTGTACCTATTGTTTTGCATAGTAGTCCTTGAAGTTCTATATTCTAGGTTACCATTTGCCTGAAGTTTTGGAAATGGCTTATTTGTAAAATAAAATTGTTTCTTTCTCTTAGCAATTAATATCTGTTTATCTCCTAATTCTTTTACCTAATTTGTTTAGTTGAACTAGGGACAGGATTTTTATAGATGATTTGACCCGTTTTTATAGTTCCAAGAGTTTTCTTTTTTGTTTTATTTTTTTCTTATAATTTCGTATGTGTTATAGTCTAATTATCTATTATTTGATTCAGCGCCATTATGTGCTTACAGCAGAGGTTGTCAACCTTGGCTGTGCACTAGAATCATTTGGAGAGCTTTGAAGATACCGATACCAGGGCCCTACCTGTGTCTGAGGTGTGGCCTGAGCACCAGGATTTTCAGGAGCTCTTCAGGTGATTCAGCTTTGCAGCCAAGCTTAAGAAATCATTGCCTTAAAGTGCTTCAGACGTAACTGAAACATGCTTTCCGCTTTTGGAAGTAGGTAACCATGGCTAATCTGAGTGTTGTGATCAATCTATCATCTCAAATCTCTTGCTTAGAATAAAGTGAAATCATTAGAATTGGGCTAGCAGGATCAAGTCCTTGACTTTGTTAAAGCACTTTTATTGTTCACCAAACCATAAGTGGAATTAAGTAAAGCATATAGATAGATAGATAGATAGATAGATAGATAGATAGATAGATAGACAGACTGATTTCAAGCTTTTAAATTCCTGTGTATATAGGGGGAGGGGTAAAGTTCTTGTTTTGAGCTGAGCTCTATACATCTCAGAGTCTTTTTGCTAATTATGTAAGTGAGAAATTAACAATTTTGTTTTTACAGCCTATAACAATTACTGATTTGTTGTTAGTATAGTTAGGCAAACATTGTTCTCAGACTCTTGTTGACTTTGTTACCTACTTTCAATGTAATAAGTACTCTGTTACCATAAGAGGATCTTTGTTTACTCCAGTAACAAAATGTTGGACAAGTATTTGTAAACTCAAACAGTTACCTTCCTGAGGTATCAGAGAGCTTCCAGAAATAAATCAGGTTGAACTTTAGACTATTCCTTCTTTTCAGAAAAGTTGAGAAAAGTAACCTAGTCTATTTCCAGCTTGGAATTGGGAGCTGAGAAGAGGGCAGGGATGTTTACTGATTTCACTGTTTGGTTTGAAGTATTCTGAATTCACTGAATATACCCATATCTTGCATTATGTACAGCAATAGGATAGCAAACTTATTTTACATCTATATAGCATATTAGCATGGCGTCTGAAAATAGGGGAGCTTAGTGAATAGGTGAATATTAATCAGAATTGGGGTCAGATCCTAGTTTCTCTATTTATAAACTGTGTTACCTTGATTTATTTAACTTATTAGGCTTAGTTTCCATATCTGGAAAAGTGTACACTTAGGAAGTGTACCTAAGTTCTAAGTTTGTTAATGAGTTAAACTATTTTAGATTCTTGACACGGTACCTGCCCACAGTTGGTCTGTAATAAATAATAGTTCCGTAGTTTTGAGATCGAATTATTCTAGGAATTATTCTAATAAAAATGATACCTGAAAACAAATTAAGCTCTAAATTTTCTTTAACAATGAATCTTATTAATAATGACTTATTGGGGTGATGTTTATAAGTCATATTTTATGTAGTTGAGTTCCTGAATATTTCTGAATTTCAAATAAACCTGATAATCTCCTTATAAAGGTGTTGATAGCATACCTTTGTTTATCATGATAGGTTTTATACTTTTTCATTATGTTTAGAGACATTTTACAAGACCTGAAAGAGTCTTACAATATGAAGGGAGAAACTAGAAAGTTGATAGTATAAACTGGGCAGTATAGTATAATAAGGGCATAAATTCCTAGGTTCACACATACATAATGAAAATATAGGTGGAGTGTAATATAGGCCATGTTGAGGTGTAGCCAAATCAAATGAATTCATTCATTAAAAAATGTTTATTACATTCCTTTGTGTGCCCAAATAAGATCATCATAGCAAAGACTCCTCCCATTTTTTGCCTTTCAAAATTGCTGTCATTTAAAAAAAAAAGTGCCTTTTTAAGGCACAGTTCAAATGTCTATTTTATAAAGTCTACTTACCCCTCTTCCCCATCGCACACACACCATTAAAAGGAATCACTGTTTTCTGCACTGTCAGCTTGTGACTTTTACACTGGCACTTATTTCACTGTTTTATTTTAAAAGCATTTAAATTTATGGCATTGGGTTGAAGATTATATGGTTTCCCCACTGGCTTTGACATCAGAGATGTTAATTTAGTCCACTTTGTCACTTAACTTTCTTTGTAAAGGTTTCTCCTTTCTGTGCTTTAAAAATTTACTTATCTCTAAGACAGGATAAAAGTTTCTACTTCTTAGTTTTATTGACAGATTAAGTAGTATAAGTAGCCCAAGATAGTAAGTGTTCAATAAACAGTAGTGGATATTGTTATTATTTGTGTGTGGCATATTATTTATTGTATGTAAATATGATACATGACTTAAATAAAACCTCCTCCTCTAGACTGCACATCTTTAGGACAGGGAATCATCACTTGGCATTTTGCATAAGGTTTAATAAATTAACAAATATTTGTTGATTAAATACATTAACTTTCATCTTTACTACACTTTTATGATTTCAGTAATATGTGGGATATAACCCTGAAAGCAACAAATGAACAAACAAAACAAAACCAAACCTCATAGACACAGACAACAGTTTAGTGGTTACCCAGAGGGTAAGGGGGAAGGACGGTAGCAGGAGGGAAAAGGGGGTCAAATATCTGGTGATGGAAGGAGAACTGACTGTGGGTGGTGAACACACAATGTGATATACAGATGATGTATTATAGAATTGTACACCTGAAACCTATGTAATTTTACTAACTAATGTCACCACTATACATTTAATAAAAATTAATAAAAAAATAAGATGCTATTTTTATCACAAAAAAAGAGTTGTATTGGTAGATACAAAAATTTTTTTATAAAAGTTGTTTTCTAAATGACTTTGTTTTGAAGTCCGTACAGGTATCTTCTTGTTCCATAACTTCAGTGCCCTGAAATCTGAGCATTCCACGAAGATAATATGACAGGAACTTTCAGTGGTTTTGAGCCATATCCTACTTAGACTAATGTGGACCTTCCAGATTTCCTGAGAGCTTGGTACAGAGCACACAGTGTTTGCTAATCGACTCAGGCAATAATGCCATCTCTGCCTCAAGAAAGAGGTAAGCAGATCAACCTCATCACGTTATAAAATATGGATGTTTTATATATCATCATTGCTAATGTTTTTAAGAATTAAAAATTAATTGGAGACTCTTAAAAAGAACCAGAACTTACAATTTTACCTTTTTTTTTTTTTCTGGGAGGGCATTTGTGTTCTCTGGTATGGAATTTTTGTTATTTCAATGACATTTGGTTGGTTTCCATTTCTTTTAAAGTTATTCAGGGACCCTCTCCCCTGGATCTGAATACAGAATTGCCTTATCAAAGCACAATGAAAAGGAAAGTCAGAAAGAAGAAAAAGAAGGGAATAATTACAGCAAATGTTGCTGGGACAAAGTTTGAAATTGGTAGGTCTCCTCAGAATCATGAGATTTTCATACCTGTTGGAAAAACTAGTTTGATGTTGAAAACAATGTAGAAATTCAGAGAGACATTATTGTTTATATAATGGGTTTTTAAATGCCTTCTGTAAAATTTTACTTTTTATGAGATATTTCACATAACAATCAAATTGAACATCAATATAAAACTAAAAGCTTTAGTTATTAATGGGATGATTTTGACTAAACTTAATTTTAAATTCAAGTATAAAATAATATTAGCATTAAACAAATTAAAATGTTAAATGAAAATGAACGGTGTAAACTTTGAGATTTTTATTAAACAATGAGAACCCGACTTAAAGAATAGAGTAAAAACATATTTCTATGTTTAAGAAAGTTATTTTGATGATGCTGTTGCTTTTTATTAATGAAATTCTAGTTTTTATGTGTAAACAGTATTTGTAGTATAGAGAATAGATAAGAATTGTTTTAAGTTCAGATACTTTTGACCAGCATTGCGCAACTCATTATGAATATCATAAGTAATCAAATAATATTCCTCTTTTATTAATAATTTTGCATTAAAAGAGTTGAGGAAAATCGTAATCATATGAACCTCAAGGATGTTATTATTCTTAGCCTTATTAATCTTTAAGAGTCTCATTTCCATTTATAGTAATTCACCAAAGTTTATAAGCAATCAATGGAGTATTTCATTGGAATTGAGGTCCCCCAGTATTCTATTCCAGTGGGTGTTCCTCAGAAGAAAAGACTTTAAGCAAGCTGGTGTGAGATGTGAAAGGTTCAGGGTTTACTTAAGCTTATTTTCTAGAGTGAAAAAACAAGAGTAAGGTGACCACTGTAAAAGTGATTGACCAGTGGTATTAACTTATCCTCTCACCTACTTTTAAGGTTCTTAAGGAACTTTGATTTAAAGGAGAACATGTAAAGTGCGGTTTCCTTTCACTTTCCCAGGAAGTTTTCCGAGGGTCAAAGTTGCATTATTTTTCATACGTTTCCAGTTCCATTTCCCTCATCAAGGTCTTCCCAGTGATATCTGCGAGGCCCTGAACAATTTCCCTCATGCACTCAGGTACAGGTTTTTTAACAAGCATCATTTTTTGCTTGTTAGCCAGTTAAAGGAGCTTCCCAAGCTGTGTCTCTCTTGCCCTGGCCCTCCCTATGAGCTCTGGGTGGCACATCAGCTCCCGAGCCCTCAGGACGTTAAAGCTGTCTGGTGGTCTGTGGCAGGCCAGAGAGGAGCAGCTCTTTCCCCAACTCTTGTCCCCAACTCTTGTCACCTGGGCCTTCAGAACAACCCCAGGTTTTACTGAGCTTCTCATGGAAAACAGCAACTTCAGCTCGACAATCCCTTCCCTGACCTCATTCACCTCCAATCACTGTTCTCTCCTTTTATACCTGTGTTCTAGACATGATTACATAAAAAGTCCTTTCTTTATCCTCAGCCGAAAAAACAATCGGGTTCCCAGGACTTGAGACCAGCAGGTGTCTGCTCCTCAGTTTCATGCTTGAGTCAAATAAAGTCAGTCAATTGATCCCCCTTTTCTTTTTAAATTTTACCTTTCAATTACAGTTGATATTGAATATTATTCTGTAGTAGTTTCAGGTATACAGCATAGTCGTCAGACATTTATATAATTTACAAAGTGATCCTCCTGACCAGTCTGGTACCCACCTGGCACTATACACAGATATTATCATATCATTGATTATATTCCCTGTGTTGTATTTTACATCCCCGTGACTATTTTGTAACGACCAGTTTGTCAGTGATCCCTTTTTTATCCTTTCTCCTCATATTTCGGGTACCAATAAAAGTAATACATTTCAAAATAAGACACTGAAGCATTGCTATATAGTTTCACCATTCTGTTAGACTTAGAATTCTTTTGGAGCCCAAAATTTATCCTAAGTATTCTACTTATCTTTATTCTAGATAAGAATGAACTTGAAATTTATTGGAAGAAAAATGTCAGTGTTTTAATTGTGATATCTAAATCAGAGAGGAGTATACATATGTGTGTATGTGTATAAACAAGCTTTCCTCTGGGCCTAATTTTTTTCAGTAGGATCAGAGGGTTTTTTAACAAATAGGAGGGGCAGTTTCAAAACCTCTGCAGTGAATTCTGCTTTATTATTTCTGATCCTGAGTCAGTATAGCTGACTTGGTTTTAACGGCTAAACGTAGTTTGAACTAGGGAAGTGAAAAGTATAGCATAGGTCTAATGATCAGAGGCTATTTTTGCCTTTTTGCTTTTGTACTTCACCCAAGGTAACAAAAAAGCCATAAAAGTACATTTTCCTGATGGGGGAGGTGTTGTCTCAGCTGTGTGTATGTTGTCCTTGTGCCGTGAATAATCACTAACCCCTTTAGCAGTGTTGTGCACCTGTTACATCTCAGAGGATTCAAACTAAGGATTTGGGGTGCCACATGAAAGCAGTTCTCAGTTACTGTTGAGTGTAATTTTGCCTGTGATAAATTGTGACTAAAAATAAGGTTATGTGATAATGAATGGCTATTTTGCCAATAAAATGCTTTGAGATAAAATTTATATCTAAGAATGTTTCCCCAGTGAATATTTTTAGAAGTATTTCCATTGTGGTTTAACTTGATCTTTTCCTTGCAGTTCGTTTAGTAATAGATGAGATGGGATTTATGAAAACTCCAGATGAGGATGAAACAAGTAACCTTATATGGTGCGATTCTGCTGTTCAGCAGGAGAAGATTGCAGAGCTGCAGAATTACCAGGTGGGCATTAATCGTGACCAATGGTTGCTCATTGGGAAAGTTATATGAAATCCCTTATAATTCTTTTTAAATAGGATTCTTAATATGTTGACTTGTTAGATTTCTGTCCTAACTTATCTGAATAGCCTGTTTTGTTGTTGTCCGGTTGTACTGATTCTTTCTATGAAGCCTGCATCCTTTCAAATTTAACTTTTAACTTCTTTCCTTATTTAAGGAAGAAGTGATAGAAGAAAATTCTTCTAGGCTGATGCTTTGTGTTGTTCTTAAAGATGAGTGATGTAGAATAGACTGCATAGAGAGATCAGGATGTAGAAATACCTTGTAGTGTTGGCTATGTGTAATCTGGCTTCATTCTTTCATTTTTAGGGTGTAATACAAACATATTAAAAATAGACATCTAAATAAAAAGTCTAATGCACAGAATTTTAGACAATTGATGTTTTGTATAGTTCTCCTTCATCTGTTAGTATAGAAGGTAATACAAAATTTACTGTAGGAAACAAATGAATCCATTTCACCAGTTTTTCTACAATGCATATCTGTATGAATATAGTAAATTTAGAATACCGAAAATCATTTTGACATTGAATTGCTACTTATTCAACACGGAAAATTATAACTTTAGTATCTATATAAACACCTTTTTCTGATTTCTTTAAAATTTTGTGGTTGTATTCTCTGATTCCCATAGATTCTTTAATTCATTGTAGGTCATTTAATTTCAGTATTTTACATTAATAATTGTAAAGGATGGATGTAACCGTATTATAGTATAAATGAATATATCCATTCAGTCAATGAGAATATTAACATTTACCTTTTTATTTTCCAGAGGATCAACCATTTTCCAGGAATGGGGGAGATCTGTAGGAAGGATTTCTTAGCAAGAAATATGACCAAGTAATCTTCATTTTCTTGTAATAGAGAAGACTTGTTCGAAATTTACATTTTAAGTATTATAGTGCTAACTTTCACAAGGTTACATTGATTTGAAATGATTTTTTGAAGATATAGAATTTTAGAGCTAGTAGGGTATTAAAAGTTTTTGGTTTCTCTTTCTTCACTTTGCAGAGATGGTAACTGAGAATCAGATAAATGAATATCTTGCACAAAGTCAAACAAATATTAATAGCAGATCTGGAGCAGAATCTTGGTTTCTAGAACTCTGGGTTCTTTATACTTTTTATTCAACATCTACTTACTTATTTTCAGTTAAATGTTTTAGGAGCTAATCTGTTGCATTATATGCCGTGTGTGCATGTGTGTATTCATATACTGGCCATTGAGTGTATAATGTGACCCAGAAACTGTAGTAGATGCATGTGTGCACACATGCACACACATACACTCAGACACATACATATGTGTTTGATGTCCACCCAGGGATACACATGCAGATATATTTATCTCAGACCACTATTTAGCATAACAACCTGCTTTCATGGGAAAAACTGTTCAATTACTTACCTTTTTTTAAAAATTTGGGGTCTAAAAACTGGGTGCGTCTTATACTGTGGTTGTAGATTTTTTTAACTTGCATTTCCCACTTTTTTTGCGCTTGTTTTTGCGCTCATACAGCCAACTGTATTAAGATGCACCCAGTTTTTAGATCCCAAATTTTTTGAAAAAGGATGAGTCTTATATGTGGGGAAATATGGTATGTGTTATACCAAATAAGCTGTAGAATTTTTATGCAGTTTATATTTCTGTTGATTAGATTTTTTTTAGTTTAAGGAAGTTGAGTGACGAATTGAGAAAAGATTTTTAAAAGGAGATCTCTTTACAGAGAAAGGTTAGTAAACTTGTATGTGTGATTAAAGAAATATTTGACTGTACCCATGAGAAAGTTTATACATCTATTTACTCAACAAATATATTTTGAATGTCTATTTTATACCTTCAAGGCTCCAGGCTGCTGGACTTTGAAGTAAACAACATAAATAAGGCCTAGTTCCTGCCCAGAACTCACATTTTAGTAAGGGAGAAAGACTGATACATACAATACAGTTTGATTGTGCCACATTAGAAGTAGAGTCAGTGTATTGGGGTGACAAAGATAGTGGGGGAGATTATTTTTGGGAGGGCAGGGAAGGCTTTCTGGAAAAATGAAATATAAGATGGATATTGAAAAATATAGAGGATTTCACTTTTGAGAAGAGGGCAAGTAGATTGAGGGCAAAGACAGCAGTGGGAAAAATATATAGAGAATTAAACCAACATGATAGGTTTGGGGAATTTTAAGCAGTTCCTATGTTTGAATAGGATGTTGAGAGGCGTAACTTGAGATGATGCTGGAGATAATGCAAAGGCCAGGCTATGTATGCCATGCTATTATATTTTATTTAATCATTGATTCTTTAATCTCTTTACTCAACAAACATTTTTGTTTATACTGAAAGAAATGAGTTATTTAATGGGCTTAAGCAGAGAAATAAGATGTTTTAGATGATCTTGGTGGCAGTGTAGATAATGGATTCGATGAAGGCAGGAGTAGAGGGAAAGCTGATGAGAAATAATGAGCATTTAATAAACCAAAGGAGAGAAAGAATGGGAATGGGGAAGAGAAAATAGATCTGAAAAATAGGAAGGAGAGAGAATTGAAAGGACTTCAAAACTGCTGTGATGTGAGAATTAGAGAGAAGGAGGAGAGAAGTCTTCAAGATGACGCCTAGGTTGCTGGCGTAGGATATTGTGTAGGTGTTGTGATTGATTCACATTAAGATTACAGGAAGACTAGATTTCAGAGGAGATGGAATTGCCTCTGTAAAATTTTAGACACATGTTTCATTTAAGGTGTTTATTTTCACTTAACACATATTTATTAACCACCCTGGCGGTAATCCCGAGTGTGGCTCGGGGTTAATTTTCACTGCCAGAAGTGGTAACCTCGAGCCACACTGGGATTACACTGCAGTGTCCCAGAGAAGTCCCTTACCTGCTCTCTGCGATCCTGCGGTGTCCTGTGATCGCCGACGAGAACGCTGGCCGATGACAAATTGCAGTGTTTTTTATTTGATTACATTATTGAATAAAATTATATTATTTTTTATAATTATTTATTATATTATAATTTATGATTTTGTGTTTCAAACTTTATCATACCTGGGATGCCTACTAGACTCTTGTTTGGAGAGATTTAAGTGAGTAATTCCTAAGAATTACAGGCCTACAACATAAAACAACAAATTTCCATGCAAAACAATGTACCGCTTTGGGTACAAAATTCTGACATAATCAGACTGCCAGGGAAGTTAAACATCTATTATATGCCAGGCACTGTGCTGTGCTTTGGGCACATGAGGTGATCAAAAGCAGATCTATGTTTTTTGCAACTTTGGTTTGCAACTGTCTGATAAGTATTATAAAGTAGAGGCACGTCATGTTAAATCAGTGCATAGTGAAGGACTTCTAACTTAGGGGGGCATTGGAGAGTTTCCTTGAGTAAGTGATTTGGAAACTGAAATATAGATGATGAGTAGGCGTTTACTGGGGAAGATGGTAAGTAACAGCCTTCTGGGCAGGAAGAGTAGCATGGGCTGAGGTCCTGTGGTAGGAGAAAACATGAATAGTTCTGGTGCTGAAACAAGGCTAAGTACAGCTTGAGCACAGACACTGATGGGGAGTGGGGGGGAGATTAGCTGGAGGGCGACTTGTAGGATTATGCTCTTTGTTCTAAATATACCATAGGAGATGAAGGGGAGATGAGGTTGGTAAAATGACCAGATTTGCGTTTTTGAAAAGATCTTTCTGGCTGCTTTGTAGAGAATAGAAATCTGTATGGTTGGGAGAGGCAAGAGGGTTATACCCTTTAGTATGCTGTCGCAAATATACGATTTCCCATTTTGTAGAACCCTTGGAATTCTCTTTCTGGACAAAATAATCTTCTAATAGAAAAAAGTTGACCTAGTCATGTAACAATAGAGTTAACTAAATCACATGTTTAATATAATTTAGTAAATCCATGACAGAGCAATGAGCAGAAATTATCCCAGGTTCCTAAATTCCTAAGCCAGACCACATGTCTCTTTGAAGGTACACACTTTTACATTAAATGATTTGTGCTAGAGTGCCTAAATGGAATAAAATATTTCTCTTGACTCTATGTGTCTTTAATTTTTTTCCAAATATATATGTAAAAGAATGTTATTCATATATACTACATGGTCAGTTTTAAAATACAAAGGGTGCCATAAAAGTGTATACACATTTTAAGAAAGGGAAAAACTACTAAAATTTTAATACTCAATATATACTGATAACAAAAGATGAATACAAGTCACATTTGACTCCTGCAATTATAAGAGGTGCTCAAACTGGTTACCATCAGTGTCCAGACACTTGCGGTTACGGCGAGCTACTGCTTGAGCAACGTTGACCCAAGTGTCCACTTGCATACATTTTTTTGTCACTCCTGGTATATTATTCTACTTAAAGCCTTAACTTGATCTAATTTCATATTATTGTTAATAATGTAATAAATGCATTTAAAGGTGTTGGAAACAGAAACAAAGGCATTAGCATTGTTATTATGTTCCCTTTAAATGTGTGTGTGTGTGTGTGTGTGTGTGTGTGTGTGTGTGTGTGTGTTTCAGACTAGTCAGTGTTAGCCTATTTTGTACTACGATTATTTAGCTTGTTGGTTTATTCTAGATTTGAAAGATGCATTTGGTAATTATTTCCCTTTTCATAATGGAAATATAACTTCCTTATACGGTTGTCACTTGAAATATGAAAACCATACGAACCTCCAATTGTGGAGGCCAAATGACGTATGTATTCCATACCCGAGTCTTAGAATTTAGGCCCTACTTCTCTGCTTACTATATACTATGGTTCTATTTTTGTTTTTACTAATTTCATTTGGGGACAATATCTGCTCAGCTATAAAAGATGCATACATTTAATTAAAAAGACATTTTTTTGAAACAGATTTTCTTTAATTGATAATATTTAAAAATATTTCTTCTAATTTATTTTTATCGGGAATCATTATGTACAAAATGGTTAACATTTGAGATTCATCAAAGTAAACATTTTATGCCTAGTATTACCCGTAAGTTATGTATGAAATAGGCAGAATGATTTGTAACAAATACAAATACACAGCAGGACATGCATTGTAGTAATAAAATCACATGTATGGCCACATATAATTCATATAAACAAAACCTATTCTGACTCAAAGCTTCACATAGTGTTCTCGGAAAAGTAGTTAAACTCCCAAAAAACTGGCATAAAAGGCCATCTAAAACTGCTCCCTGTGGTTGACCCAGGGAACTCAAATTCATCTTTAAAGAAGCAATATGATGGCACCTGGCTGTGAACCGTTTCCTACTGTCCACCCCCATCCCTGAGGCAGAGCTAATGACCCTTTGCACATGTTATCTTGCCTTATAAGTCTTTATTGCACGTATCAATTCCCTAGGGCAGAGACCATATTAGTTTATCTTAATATGCTCAGTTCCTAGCACATAGTATATACTCAAAGAAATGTTTGACCTACTAATATAATATGTAAATTAGTACATAGGACAGATAATTGTGTCTGTTTTTTCACTGATGTATCCCCAGTGTCTAGGTTAAGTGCCTAGCTCATAGTAGATGTTTAACAGACATTTGCTGAATGACTCAACAAATGGAGAAATAGAGGGATTTAAATCCTTGTAGTAAATGTCAGTAGCACAGAGAAAGAAAAGTTTGAATAGAAATTACTTTTCATATTATCTCTAATTTACAGAATGATCAAGTCCCGGCCTCTGGATTATACCTTTGTTCCTCGAACATGGATCTTCCCTGCTGAATATACACAATTCCAGAACTATATGAAAGAATTGAAGAAAAAAAGGAAGCAGAAAACTTTTATAGTAAAACCAGCTAATGGCGCTATGGGTCATGGGTAGGTATTTTTTACCCAGAATATTAAAAAAAAAAATGGGAAAAGAATAAATGTGAGCATTCACTCATAGTTGAGTACTAATAGAAAAAAATAGGTTTCTAATTTTTGCCTTTTTTTAGGAACAAAATATTTAATGAGTTCTTTTACCCACAGGCTTCAGTAATTCAATTTAAAAACTAAATGAATAGGTTGTAAGACTTTAATAGACCACAAAATAGAGACTAAAAGGTGTTTTAAAATATTTTTAAATATAAAATGTGCATTTATAATAATTTTAGAATAAGCTTGGACAATAAAATTCAGTTGGTATAATAGAGCTAAATTGACTTGGAGAAAGGAATAGATAGGGAATTACTCTTTTCATTGAAATCTTAAAGCAAAATATGTATTTTTGCTTTTCAAATAAGTTTTTTTTTTATGTAGTCATGGTAATTGGATTGAAAATAAGTAGAATATATTAAGCTAAAATGCCAAGAACTAGACATGCTAGCTGAGAATAAATTATGTAAGTTATATTCCCGTTTCCTTTTGCTTTTTTTTTGTTAGTTCTTTGCAGTGTACTTTTTCAAAGAAAATGTGGCTGAGGCTGCTTTTAATAAAAACACATGAGTCATTTTAATCTTTTGTTTTAAATGCTGTGGGGAAAAGATATTTGGAAATGTAGCTGCCAGGTAAATTATTATTCAACAAATTTCTGTAACTTTTAATCGTAATTTATTAATTTAATCAGACATTATTTTAAACTAATGTTTAGTAGGTTTTTAAAATAAACTTGTATTAGTGGGAATTGTATATTGTTTAATGTAAAGCTGGTTTGCTGTATGTTAGTATCAAAGGTAATTTTTGGGGGGGGAATAATTGAAGTTCACATTTTTCTCATCTCAATGTTAAAAATAATGTTAAATTTATATATATATATATATATATTATATTTAACATTAAAACATTATAAGTAAGCATTAATCTGATTTGACAACAGTATAAAAAATAGCTGAAAAGCATATTGTGCCAGGGTTTATCTCATATAATGTGGTAGTACATACATAAAGGGTACCTCTCATTTATGCAGTATATCGTTTATTTGCTGATCTTCTGTTTGGTTGTTCTATCAATTATTGAAAGTGGGATATTGAAGACTTCAACTGTTATTACCGAATTCTCCATTTCTTCTTTGAATTCTGTCAGTTTTTGATTCATATACTTTTGGTGCTCTGTTGCTAGGTGCATGTATTTTTATAATTATTATATTTTCTTGATGCATTGACATTTTAAAATCACTGTATACTGCTCCTCTTTGTGTTTTGTAATAATTTTTATCTTGAAGTCTGTTTTGTCAGATCCTAGTATACAGTCACTCCAGTTCTCTTTTGGTTACAGTTTGCATGAATATGTTTAACATTTATTCATTTTCAACCTATTTGAGTGTTTGAATCTAAAGTGAATCTTTTGTAGACAGCATATAGTTGGACCATTTTATTTTTTTTAAATACATTCTGCCAAATCTTATCTTTTAGTAGGGGAGTTAATCCATTTGTACTAGTGTAATTATTGATAAGGAAAGATTTACTTCTGCCATTTTGCTATTTGTTTTCTATATGTCATGTAGTTTATTTTCCTCAATTCCTGCATTTCTGCCCTCTTGGGTATTAAATAATTTTCTAGTTTATCAATTTAATTTCCTTGTAATTTTTTTTACTGTATATTTTTGAATTATGCTTTTAATGGTTGCTCTTAGATTGCAATTAAGATCTCAATTTATACCACTGTTGTTTGGATTAAAATCAATTGAGTTTCAATAGTAAACAAAACAAAACAAAAAACTTTGTTCCCCTGTATAGCTCTGCCCTCCCCTTTATTGTCACAAATTACATTTGTATACATTGTGTGCCCGTTAACATAGATTTCTAATTATTGTTTTATGCAGTTGTTTTTTAAATAATGTATGAAAAATGAAGAGTTACAAACCTAAACTACACTAATAGTGACTTTTTTATTTACCCATGTAGTCACCTTCATGTGCGTTAATTCTTAGTATGGATTTTGGTTGCTTTCTAGTGTTAGTTTGTTACAGCCTGAAGGATTCTCTTTAGCATTTCTTACAGGCCAGGTATACTAGCAACAAACACCTTTAGTTTTTGTGTATCTGGGCATGTCTTAATTCCTCCTTTAATTTTGAATAGTTTTGCAAGATATAGAATTCTTGGTTAACAGGGTTTTTTTTTTCTGTTTCTGTCAGCTCTTTGACTATATCATTTCACTATCTTCTGACCTCCATTGTTTCTGATGAGAAATCAGCTGTTTATGTTATTGAGGATTCCTTGGGCATGATGAGTAGCTTCAGTCTTACACTTGCAAGATTCTCTTTGTCTTGGCTTTTAACAGTTTGATTATATGTTTCAAGTCAAAATAAAAAACAACAACTGCCACTGTAAGAATAAGGCCCATTTTACTTCCTCTAGAACCAGTAACTGTACTGGGAACATGGGCTGTTGTTCAAGGCCTCTGCTGAGCTGGGTTTTGGGAGATGGGACCAGAGTAAGCTAAAATGCTACAGAGCTCTTTTACACAGATTCAGCTTTTATTTTTTTATTACCTGATCCCTGGTTGTTACAAGCTTCTGGTTAGTTTCCTGTATTCCAAAATAATTGATTCTGAAAAAAAAATTATATACATATATTGGGTTGTCGGAAAAGTCATGATGTATTTTTTCTATGTTTTTCATTGCAAAAATGCATCATGTCTTTTCTGAACAACCCAATATATATATTTTTGGCTATTCATGGCTTTTGTGGAGGGACAGACTTTGGAGTTACTTATTCCATCATTTTCCTCTTGAGTAGTAACTATAACTTTGAAAACATCGTGACTCCATATCAGATTATTCTTTTACTTTTTTTCTTTAAACTTAGGATTTCTTTGATAAGAAATGGTGATAAACTTCCATCTCAAGATCATTTGATCGTTCAAGAATACATTGACAAGCCTTTCCTAATGGAAGGTTACAAGTTTGATTTACGAATTTATATTCTGGTAACATCGTGTGATCCACTGAAGATATTTCTTTACCATGATGGACTTGTGCGAATGGGAACAGAGAAGTACATTCCACCTAATGAATCTAATTTGGTAAGTGATACCAGGTGGAATCTATGATTTTATTCATTTGTTCAACACAAACTTTTAAAAGCACCCATTGTATATATAAGTTATATGAATGAGAGTCCCTCCTCTTAGGTTTCCATAATCTAGAAGAATTGTATGCACAAAGAAGACTACTTCTAATTTATAGACAGCTTTGTGAAAATTAGAAAAAAAATGTTTCTGCTGTTGGAAAGCTATTTAGGGAAAGGTACCCCCTTTGGGTGCTGTGAGCACAAGAATGGATTTCAAAGCACACATACTCGTATGTATGTGGTGTCCTTGTATAGAAATGACAGATGACGTGCATATGCAGTAGCCCTATATTGAAATGGATTTCAAAGCACATGTGTGTATGCAGTGGCCCTGGGTAGAAATGACTTCTATAGAAACATAAGTAAAAAAAGGATAAGCCATTAAGAAGTACAGATACAGTGTTATGGAACTGAGTATTGGGATAGTTTGTGCTCAGCTCTTCACAGAAGAGGTGGCATTATATTTGAGTAGATTTATGTAAAGGTACAGCTAGAACATGTAGAATGTGGGAGAAAGTATATGAAACAGAAAAAGCAAAATTTATCAGAAAAGAGAGTTATTTATTTTTGTTGAAATAAAAGATTGTAAATTTAAATTGACAGAATACGAAGTAGAGCCATAAATGGGTTGTTTCAGTATGATTTTAAGTCTTAAATGGAGCTTTTTATAGATATTTTCCCATCAAGTTTTTCTTTGTGTAGCCATGACATAGTGATAAAAACCATAACTGTAATTTAGAGTTGATGAAGGTCAGCCTAATTTATTATCATAATTTATTATGAAAGTCAGAAACTGTATAGTTTATGAAAGACAAGCTGTGAGTTATTATCTGTATTTATTAATTTATTATTAAGTAAACTTAAAAGTTTAGTTAACTTCTAGACCTGTTTTTGGATCTAATTATAGCAAAAATTATAATTAGTACAGTATTGTTTCCCATTTTGTCAAAGGCCTGGTTATTGTTCTTCAGTATTACATAATTAGCAACAATAAGAGTGGTCACATTTTCAAAATTAAATAATGACTTACCATAAATTTTGCTATGTCCAAAGAACTGAAACATATTGTAAACCTGGCAAAGGAAGAATAAGGGAACTGTCAAAGTTTTTGCAGGACAGGAAGATAAAAGAAAGAATCACCTCTTTAAAGGTCATAAGGCGTGAATATATCCAGTCAGCAAGTAATGTATGAACTCTAGTGCAGAATAGGCATTGTGCTCGTTTTGGAAAAACACTGACCAAGGCAGATACAGTACTTGACCTCACAAAAGCAATAGTCTAGAGGGAAGGCAGAAAATAAAACAAGCAATTACAGTACATGATAGTAAGTGTAAAGGTCTAAGAAGCTGAGCGTGCTGCGGCAGTGCATAGCAGGGCATCTAACCCAGTTGGAGATGAAGGTTAGAGAGGGCGTTTGTATGGTGAAATCTGAATAATGAAGGGTTAGCCAGTTTGGGGGAGGGGTGGGGTGGGATGCAGCTTCAGGCAGAAGAATAGCCCAGAGGTAGAAGGGGGTGTGGCATGTCTGGAGATAGCAGACACATTCAGCATGGCTGAAGCGCAGACTGAGGAGAGATGGGTATTCAGATATGAGGATGGAGAGTCCCGGAGGCCAGATTTTCAGGGCTTGTAGACCGTGTGTAAGATTTTGGAATTTAGCCTAAGAAGAAGGGAAGCGCTGAAAGATTTTAAAGAAGGGAAAGAAGGAATGAGATTTGCATCCTAAAAATGTCACCTGGTCTACAGTGTGGGGAATGTGAGATGGGAGTGTGGAGCCTAGATGAGAGACAGCGAGAAGCTGTATTCTAGTCTAACCACATGTGAGAGGAAGGGTGACTTAATTTGAAGTAATAGTAGTAGGGCTGGACTAGGAATCGGAACACAGATTTAAGATATATTTATGATAACATGGATGACATTGATATAATATACTGACAGGTTGGATTTGTAGAATGAGGGAAAGGGAGGGAGAAATTAATAATAAAACTCAAGATTATTGGCATGGGCTGTTGTGCAGATGGGGTATTTTCAGTGTGATAGGGAATGCAGGGGCTATTAAAAGCTTTGCAGAAAGCTGATGTGTTTGGTTTGGTATGCCTATGTGACCTCCAAATGGATCTATACTATAAGCATTTGGATACTTGTATATAGTATAGGTCTGAAGTTCAGATGAGAGAGCGGAACTATAGGCATAATTTGGGTTTGTCAGCTCATAGATTATAATTAAGTAATTGGAGTGGGTAAGAATGGATTATATACATGTAAGCAGATAGTCATGTTTTGAGAGGAAAGAAGGAGAGAAGAGATAGGAAAGGTTAAGACTTGGAGACTCATTTAGGTGATAAAGTGTTCTAATATCTTAAGTTATATGTATGTGATTTGCATAAGTACACTGGGTTAGGAAATCATAGTGAAGGACTGGGAGTCAGGAAATGTGGCTTCTAGTTTTCACTTTGCCAAGTGCTCTTGAATCATGTGATATCCTGGCTTTGGTTTTTACACATATGAAAAACAATGTTCTCCTGTATAAACCTGAGTGTTCCTCACCTGTCTCTAAAATGTCATGATCAAATTCCTAGATTAAGATGTGAAAAAATAAAAAGTGAAATACAAAATGTTATCTAAAGTGAGATCACTTATCTTATGTAAAAAGGTAAGTTTAAGAAAAAAGTCTGGAAAAAATAATGCTCTCATTGATTGTTTTTGGATGACAGACTGCTGCATATTTTTTTTTCCTTCTTTCTCTTTCCAAGTTTTTAAATAGCGAGCATGTATTTTGTAAAGAGGTGTATTTTTATAAGAATTAATTATTGATAAACTACATATAAAAGGATCACAAGAGAGTATTTCAGACATTGAAATATAATAAATATTTATTTCTTGTTACCAATGTTGTAGACGGCCAATCCTTGAAAAGTTGAGTATATCCCAATTCATAATATTTAGCCTATATGGTTAAAAATAGGGGAGAGAATACTTGATCCTTTTCATCCCTTGCAGGTTGCTATTTGGTTCATAGCCGCCATCACTTCTCCTAAGGCAAACGTTAACCTGGCAATGAACTGTTTAGAAGGTGATTTCAGTCAAGGTAGATGCGAAACTGTGGAAGTTCCAATCCTACTTAAAAGATAACGTTTTAGGAAAAATGCGAAGTTCCATTTCTTATTCAGTTTTTCACTAGGATAGCTAGAGTTTTTATCACTGCGATTATTATTTATTTTAAGAAATTTTTGCCAAATGGAGAGATCCTCAAAAAATTACTTTCCAACCTTTTATAAATTAAAAAAGTGATTTATATTTTGGAAACTAAGAAATGTTATATGTTGATTGTTTTTTAATCAAGTGCTTAAAATTAGACTAGCATAAGGTGTATGCTCTTTCTTCTAAATATCACTTAATTTAAGTTTTTCTAAGTTTCATGGAGGTAGGGGACTGTCTGTCTCGTTCACCTTTGTATCCACAGTGCCTAGCACAAGCTTCTGATGATAATAGATAGTAGTGCCTCCTTAAACATATTGTTTAATGAATGAAAAAAATAAATTCTTAATTAGGGGTGGGCACATGGGTTAGCAAACAACATATAACTCAAATGAGGAGTTCTGCGTATTGGCTTTAAAGATTTTAAGACTGTAGACTTAAGTAACTGCAGTGAAAAGAAATATATGAATATACTTGCTTATTGACAAGCCAAAATATTAACCATGTGCATGAAGTATATATTCATTGTGGTGCAACATTGCTGTCTAAAGTAATCTCTGGACATAGGATCAGGAGGGTGGGACTTACATACAGACTTGAATGTTTGTGCTAGTTGATAAGGAGCAATTAGATGTGTATTCATTGACAATTATGGGAAGTTTTAAATTTGGGATTCATTTTCAAGTTTGAGGATAACAATATCAACAAACATAAGACTATAAAGAGACTAAGACATAAAAGCCCCACTTTGGGGCACTTTAAATGTACTGTTAATCATTTAGACTCTGGATAGTATTGCGTGGTGCTTGTGCCTGCTGACTCTTAAGTCTTGTTAACGACTTAAAGTGGCCTCTCTGTCAGCATGGGAGGGCAGAGGCTATGTTTGGGAGTCCTTGCCTCTTGGCTTGTGCTACTAAGTTGAGCTTTTATTTTTTATTTTTCTTTGAAAATACATAGAATGCTCTCTCAGAAAATTTCTTCCCCAAAACAAATTTGGGTGAAAACTGTGACCAATAACATTAAAAACAAACAAATGGACAAAAACAAAAGAGCATTTTTCTTAGCAATATGTAGTTTCACATTTTCATTTAATTACTCTATATGTTCTTTTCATTTTAATACTTTTTATGATAGATATAGTATTTTGAATAATTTATAAAGTAATTCTTTAGATAACTACATTCACAATCTTTTTAAGGGAAATGTGCCATTCCATTCAATTTGAAAAAGTATCTAAGTAATCATGAGATTGTCATTCTGTATATTTTAAACTTTAATATCGCCTTTCATTTTTGCATGCTTTTCTGTGAAACCTCATGATTCTAGAGTCTCATAGGTGATAACAACTTTGCTTCTTACTTGTTACAGACCCAGTTATATATGCACCTGACAAACTACTCTGTGAACAAGCACAATGAGCATTTTGAAAGAGATGAAACGGAAAACAAAGGCAGCAAACGTTCCATCAAATGGTTCACAGAATTCCTACAAGCAAATCAACATGATGTTGCTAAGTTTTGGAGTGACATTTCAGTAAGATTATACCGTTCCACAATTATATTATTTCCTTAGGTTACTTTAAAGGATCATCAGGCATTTTAAATAAAAAGCAGATGACATTAGATTGAGCAGATAGAGTGTTTTCATGAAGGAAGTGGAATTTGTGGTGGACCTTGCTAGATAAGTAGTATTTTCACTGCTAGGGATGGGAGAGGGAATTCTAGGTAGAAACAAGGGCACAACAAAGGTGAGGAGGTATGAGAATAATGGTCCAGGTTGGCATATATGTTATTTGTGGGAAATTCATAGGCACTTATGGCTGAAAAGGTATGTGGAGGCCATATTTTAGGTCTGAAAATTAAGGCTTACCTTGGCATGCAGTAAGGATTCGTTCCTTTCAGTTTTTAAGGTAGGAGTGTAATAGGACCAAAGACTATGAGTTTAAAAAGTAAATCTGAAAAAGGGTGTAGGATGGGTTAGCGTGAAGACCAAAAGTAGGTAGAGGAGGGCACTTGGGAGTAATTTAAGTGGAAAGAAAGGCCTGAATTCAATTACAGTGAAAGAGGTGACAATGAGGTAAACACTGGGATGAACTGAAATGTCCAGAATGAGGGAGGAGAAGTCTTCAGAGATTCCTCTGCAGGTTTAAGGAGGAATTATTAGGGAGAATAGCTGAGGCATTTTTGAAACACAGTAGGAAGGAATTTATTTTGAGAAGAAGACATAGAGCTTAGTTTTGCAGATGAAGGCAAAGAATTCTGTTTACTTAATTGTTTGTTTATTCATTCAGTCAACACTTATTGAACCCATAATATAAGCCTATCTCTGGTTTATAATTTGAAGATTTATAAGATATGGCTTAAGTCCTCAGAAAACTTGAGTTTGGTAGGAAAAACCCTCACATAAACTTGTTGATGAAATGCAGTGTCTGAAGTACAATGACAGAGGCATACTGAATTCTATGGGGATGGAGGAGAAGACCACACATGGTAGCTGTGGGTGGGTATGGACAGTAGGAGGACTTCCTGGAGGCAGTGATACCTGAACATGTAAAAGCCCATGAGGCTGTGATGGAGTTCTACTTGAGATATGCTGAACCTGAAATGCTATCTCAGGTAGAAAGAAGCAGGCAGTTAAAAACATATGTTGGTGTGCAACTGATATTTAAAGCCATGGCAGTGGATGAAATTCCAAATGATAAAGGTAGAGAATAAAGGAAGCAGATATGAGAAGATAACCTTGATGAAACACACCCTTTATTAACCCTAGCAGAAATATTAAAGTGGTACTCAAAGAAGAGTGTGTCTATTGAAAGTACTTAATATGATTATGTAATTTGATTTGGATTTCCTTGGGGGACGAATAATATATAATGTAATAATTTGAACATGGACAATGGACATGAAAGTTCATAGTTGGTTGAATTTGGTTCTTGTGAGAAAATTGGAAAAATCAGCATCATTATATTTTGCTTTTGTTGGTTGATTTGTTTTTTACACCTTAATTTTTATATCACAACATGTAAATCCAAAGGTTCTTGGGTGTCAGGCAAGTAAAGAGTGAAATGGTCTGGATAGGAGCAAGCAGGGCATGCTGGGAGCTGTGGGAATTTGAAGAGCATAAGGGGTCTGATGGGCATAGACACCACCCAGAACTGGTGCCACATGGTATTTTGGGCCCAGTGTGGTTCATTCCTCGAATTTGTAAACAGAAGCCATAAATCTCCTGATTTATAAATATTGGCAACACATTCAAAAATTTTTTAAATGTGAAAAATGTTTGTCACCTGGATTCGGTCAGATGTCCACTGACTTAACTCTCTATTGTATCTTCCTGACAGATTAAAATACATCCAAACAAGAATTTGATTACAATAATGCTATGTTTATTTATCTTTTTATTTATGTTAGCAAGGCCAATTTTGTGGAAATTCCAAAAAATGTTCTAATAATGATAGATTTACTATCATAATGGATCAGAAGTGTCAGAGTGGAGAAATTTGTCATTTTTGGACAGTAGCTTATTGATGGAAGATCATACATAGTATTACCTGGATGATTTAATGAATGGGTCCATTTAGTTCATTGAGACCAATGAAGTTTTACATACCCTGTGATATTCTTTTTTCTTTGCTAAATTTTTCCCTTCCATATGGGTTTGTTTCATCAGGGAATTCTTTGTGGAAAGGTGGAGGCTGTTGGGCTGCCTTGGTGAAAAATATATATAGGGAATTAATCAGAGAAAAATGATCATCATTAGTTTTATTTACATTGGTTTTAAGTGGTACTTTCACATAATTGAATTGGAAGAAGGTATAGAAGTAAGGCTAATACCATTAAAAGGTTATGGAAATTACCTTTTCTGTTAGAGCCGCAAGTATAATTTTCAGATGTGACCTAAACATGGACAATGTGAGCCTGTTAAGCTCTGACATATTCATGCTTTCTGCTATAAATGGCTGACTTTTGCATCATTCTTGTCTACATTAGTTAGAATGTATATTAATAATCTATAAATAAGCAGTTAGATAACACTTAATAAATTAACTTTTCAAAGTACATTTCTTACAATTATCTTGTCTAATCTGTTATGTATTTAGAAATTTGTCTTTATTGAGAATTATATATACTTTATAAAGATATGTCTAAGGTGAATCAATGGAATAATATACTATAAAAAAAGAATAAGAGAATTACAGGAGGAGGTGGAGAAAGCACTCATGCAGTAAATTTTTATCTTAATGTCATAATTTACAAATTTAATGAATTTAATTTAGGATTTTTTTTTCAATGACCTTTTTTTTTTTGAGGAGGGGGGATTTCTCTAAAAAGTAACTGTCTGTATCTGAAAACAAACATTCCATACATCCTATGAAGCACAGAGATGTATGCTTTTGTGCTAGTCAAGAATGAATTTAAAAAATCAAGAGAAAATCAGGCCATGGAGATTAAAATGATTGTAATTATTCATAAAACGATCCTTCCTCAATGCTTTATATATACTTTAGGTACAAATCTGCAATTTATATTTCAAAGCAATGTCACTATGTTAGAAATTCTCAAAAGCATTAGTGGATTTTGATATGTGTTTGGTTCTATTATATCAGTCCTGATTTTTACATATACATGCAATCTTGCCTTTACATTGCTAAAAGTGTGTTCTTTTATATAGGAAAAAAAAACACAGATTGGTAATCAGGGTCTATTAATTCATATTCACTTTTTTCCCTCCTGGCTGTCTTACTTCACACAGACATCTACTAGCCACGGTTTTAAATTTTTTTCCTACTCTCCAGTGGTTTCAATAATATCTCCAAAGATGTATATGAAATGGCTTTTTCTCTTTCATCTTTATATACTTTGGTCTTACTATTAATTTGTTATTTTAAATAGTTTTCTGAGAATAACCTCTCACAGCATCTCTGACACTTTTTTCCAAATATCATCTGGTTTGGGATTCTGGGTAAAAGTGTGGTTAACTTCTGCCTTCCATTTTTTTCTCCCATATAATAAATATTGCTCTCACCAGGTAATGGAATGTTTGTACTTGACCTGATATGAGATGGACTTCTAGAGGAATGATAGAATAACTATAACAATAATAGTAAAGTTGCTAAGACTTACTGAAGGTTTACTTTGTTCTAGGTACTATACTAAGAGTTTTTCATGGAGTCTCATTTTGTTCTTATATTGGTCTTTTGCAGCAGGTATTATCACTATTGCCAGCCTACATCTGGGAAAAATGAAACTCACAACATTTAAGCAACGTGATTGAGGTTGCACATCCTGCAAGTAGCAAAGCCAGGAATAAACTCTTCAGAAAGTTCAACTTTAGAGTCAAGTTCTTAACTGCCGTGCTATGTTGCCTCTAGCTCTACAGAGGCAGTTAAAAAGACAGTATATTCTAAGCAAAAACCAGTGAGACAGCTTTTCAACAATCCATAGCTTGTTCTAAGGCTTCAGTAAAACAACTTTTTGCTTTATTAGCATCAGTAATTCACCCTAGTGGTGTTATGTGTCCTCACAGAAAATGATGATAACTAGTTCTTTAGTGGGTTGTACTTTCATCGCAAATAAACCTTATGAACTACAAAGTCATCACTGCACAAAGAAACCTACCTCTCCTAGCCCTTTGTCTAAGTGGAGGTTCTATAAATGTTGTGGAATTCTCATTGGATTTTTCTTCCCTGCTACTCCTAAACCCTTATGTATGGTTTCTGAGAAAACTAGCGTCATGATCCTACCCTTACTTATTTAATAAATACAAGCCACATTTATCAATTTTGATTGTACTTGTTTGTTCACAAATATTTTTGAGCATCTACTAGATGCCAGGCACCATTGTTGGCACTGGGAATGGAGTTGTGAATAAGATAGACTAGGACCCTACTGTAACAGAAAAAGACAATGATCAGCTGGTTCTGTGCTGTCCAGGGATGCAGTAAGGAATGATGGGTGGGTGACTACATTTGACTCGAGTCAGAGAAGGCCCCTTTGAATATCAGGAGCCAGATGTGGGAATACCAGGGGAAGTGTTGCAGGAAGAGGGGCCCAGAGCAGGTGAGCATGGCTGGAGCACAGTGGGCGGGGGAAGAGATGGATGAAATGAAGTGAGAGCCGGGCAGGGGCTAAATGCCATATAGAGCTTTGTGAACTTGGCCATGATGCTCATGTGTAAGTCTAGACCTCAGCTCCCCAGATGTAAATGAGATAACCAAGAAATCGGGCATTTTTACTTCTTTTTTTTTTTTTATCACTATACTTGTAGGAGTTGGTTGTTAAGACTCTGATTGTAGCAGAGCCTCATGTCCTGCATGCCTATCGAATGTGCAGACCTGGTCAACCCCCAGGAAGTGAAAGTGTCTGCTTCGAAGTCCTGGGATTTGATATTTTGTTGGACAGAAAACTAAAACCATGGCTTCTCGAGGTAAGACATTTAAATCTTTAAGAAAAAAGAGAAATTATCACTGGTCTTCTATATTGTTTTAAAACAAATGCTTTTTAAATGTCAACTCAGCATAGTTGTCTCATGAACTGAGCAGAAAGAAGCCTGAGTGGAGTATGTGGAAGGAAGGGAACGAAAAGTCAGGGACTAGAGCACTTCCAAGAATGGATCAGCAAGTGTTTGATATTACTTTTCCTAAATTGGTATTGAATTTCTAGACTGGGGATTTTGAATATATATGTGGGTCTGTTTTTACTAATTTGCTATCTACTTTCTCCACTATTTTCTCAGCCTCACGGCTTCTACCACTTCATGGCTTCTGGAGGTTGTCTTTTCTCTCTCTGTGGGTACCTGGGTTTCAGGACCACAGCCTCCCCATCTTCATTGTGTCTCCCCTTCAAACTCTCCAAGTGAGAGAGGCTCCAGTGGTTCGTTAATCAGCATTCGATACCTAACACCCCAGCTCGCGTGAATCCCTATTGCCGTATTATATGCCTGGGCTCCCCTCATGTCCAGCTTGTCACCTGTCTGTCATTGGGTTTCCTGCCAGTCCCTGGTATAGACACAGTTATCACTATTTTTCTTTTATTTATGAAAAGTCATTTAATATTTGAAAAATATAGAATAATATAAAAAAGAAATATAAATGATCTCTGTTAAGATTTTTATACCTCTCCTCCCAGTCATATTTGTATTTATTGGGTTGTCGGAAAAGTCGCGATGTATTTTTTCTATGTTTTTCGTTGCAAAATGCGTCGTGACTTTTCCAACAACCCAATACATTATATCCAGAAGAAACCTTAAAAGTCATGTGGTCCGGTTGTACCCCATTCAGCAATTCTCTCTAAGTTCCCTGATGTGAGGGTCATAGAGTACATGGCCATGGAATGCTATGCTTAGGAAACTTTATCAGGAAAATAGCACATATGTAAACACTTCGTGTTTACTAGGTTATTTACATTTTAAGGAACATATTGCATAGAAAGAAGGTAAAATCAACAACTACCTTTCATTTTAGGTTATCTCAATTTTTTGTTAATGATTTAGAAGTTGGCCATTACATCTGTAATATCAAGGCTTGCAAAAACCATTGAATGAGTGATAGAGGAGATCAAAACATTCAAAAAACATTTTTTAGGAAAGAACACTTTTCCAATTTGAGGGCCAATGTTTTTGTGTTTTTTCAGTCTACTATGAGTAAATATTGTATTATATTTCCAATGAAATACAGTTCTGTCAGGTGTTCAAATTTTGCTCCTGCTTGGGTACTAGAAAATAAGATATATGTAAAGAATTTACTTATCTTTTGCTTCCTCCATTCCGTGGATATGAAAGCACTTGACTGCACTATGGGCCCTTCACCTTACTAACGCCTGCCATTTTCTTCTTCGGTTTACTGTTTTGTCTGCAGTCATCCTTTCCTGTTCTTAGCTGTATTTTTTTTTCCTACCCCTACTACATGTCTTTTATTCTTGATGGGATGGGGAAGAAGTGAATGCACATGCATGAAGATGGAACTGAGAGAATAACAGGGAATAATAACTTTATAGATATTTAATTACCTGTTTTTAAAAAGCATTTGCCTAACAGGAGCTTTGCATTTGCTTGGTAAATCAGAATTGACTAAATTATTGAATTCTTTATTTTTTTAAAGGCTCAAAATGCCATTGTTTGCATTAACATTTTTTCATACTTTATTCTCTCCATCATTTCCAGACCAGTAAGAACCATTAAAAAAACTTCACAATAACCAAAAGCTGTGGATAATGACCATTTGTCATATTCAAACAGTTAAAAGAATCTGCTTTAGATCATGCTTCTTTTTCTTCTAGCTAGCTGCATTGTTGTGGTTCTAATGTTGTTAAAAACCTTTTGGCGCCATCAAGTGGAATAAGGTAGAAGGTGCTTCTGAGAATGCGCTAACCCAGTTCACTGGAATAATTGCCAGTCATAATTTGTAGTGGCAAATTGCAGAAATTTTGAATCATAAAAAACTTTATTTTTTAGGGAAAAACGTGGAAATTGGGTGGAGTATAAATGTACTGCTAATACTTTAAGTATCTTTGTATTAATTTCAGTAAGTTATTGTGCCAGGTGGTGGAGTTACAAGAAGAATGAGACAGGATACTTGTCCCGGTCTTGTGGGGACTCGGATATATATTTTATGATAATAGTTGTAAGTATAGGTAGGGACGAGAGAATCAGCACGAACAATAGAGTGATTAATCTCTCTGTGTACATGTGTGTATTTGAGAGTTAAAAAAAAAATCTTTGCAGAAGAAGGAACACCTGAGCAGGATAGTTAAGGCTGTAGAAAGTGGGTTAGAGGCTGGGACAGATGTGGGTGGTGTGGGGGGAAGTTGGGCAGAGGGAATAAACAGCTGTAATTTAGGAGCACAGAATCTATTATGGATACTTTGATATGTGCATGAAATGGTGGTGTTTTGGTAATACAACTATGGTTTGGATGATTAATAAGTAGTATATTAATTTAATTTGCTTTCCAATAATTTTCATTTTTGTATGTATTTACAAGCTGCTGAGCGTTAAGACTCTAATGTCTGCTGGGTTTTGCCTGTTTTAGATTGGGATAGGAAATGAGAACTAAAGAAGCCGACAACACTAAAGAGTAGAGTTTTGGCTGGACGGAAGCCTAATTTTCAGAGTTGAACAGCTTTTCTTACTGTATCATCCATTTGTGGTTTTTCTTTTATTTTTTACTATACCTTTCTCATAAAACTTAAAACAAATCCAAACTGTTAGCTGAAAAAAGTTTTTCCCCCTTTTCACATACTAGTTTAATTATGTGGGTATATTTCTTCATAGAACAATTTCTTTTATATGATAGTAGGGGGGAGAATCTGAAATAGGTAAGAGAGGGCTCTGAGATTATGTTGTTCAGAGACCTTGTTCCCATCCTGGAGGAGGGATATGCCTGTCAGAATTCCAGACTGCAATTTTGGAATGGAACACCTAAGGAATTTTATATAGATAGGTAACATTTCAGTGAACCATTTAATCATCAGTTCTTAAATGTCTGGTTTATTTTATAATCCTGTTACATGTAGTAGCAAACTATCACTAATTGTATTACAAATTCCAGAGATTTGAGTCAGTATGGAACGGTTGAAACTTTTTTTTTTAATATAAAATATATTACTTTATCCTTTCTCTGCACTTGTAAGAGGAAATACTTAGAGTTTTGAAGTAGCAGATGAATGAACTCTCTTTCTCAGATGTACTGGATGTTCTTACAATTCTTACAATTACCAAGCTATTCCCTTCCTTTTGAGACCACATCGCTCAGACAGGAATATGTTCATCATTTTCTAAATCAGGAATCAGAAAAGGAATAATACAGTATGGCATATATCCATAAAAAATACAGCTTGGCACAGCATAAAGGGACTTCATACATCCATCAAAATGATGGCATGAAAGATTTTCATGACGTTAAGAGGAAAACCTGGGTTCTAAAATAGTATAATTAATATGGACATGTATTCAGAAGGTAAAATGAATATTATAAGTATGTATGCATAGCAAATATCTAGAATACCATTTGTCAAATGGTTAACAACACACTAGGTAGTCAGATTACAGGTGATGTTCATGTTGTTTGTTTAGCTTCTATTTACTGATTTTTCTGCAGTGATCCTGGACCACATTTCTAATGAGAGTCATTTATATTCCTGGATGATTTAAAAGTATAATGTGGCATTTCCGTTCAGCTGTCAGTTGTAAAATGTATGCCGTCAATTATCTTGTGTCATGTGATGATGGATTTGTATAAGATGGCTGTCTTCTGTGGCTAGTAGCATACGTGTTCTTGGAGATAGCCTGTGGGGTTAGTTGGTGGTTCATAAGGCTAAGTTGCATTTTTGAACTCAGCAGTGTTCTAACCAACTGACTTGATTAAGTAATTTTCTTAAACACCTCCTATTCCAGTTAGATTTTCATAACAACAGCAAAGCTCAAGAACAGCAAAGACAAAAACAAAACTCCAGCTTTGAAGTGGTAGTATATTGTCTAATGGATGTCAGGGTACAAAGAGTCACTTCTTATTTTTTCATCTTCATGAAATCCTGGCAATGATGTCGGAAAGTAGAACAACCACAAATGGCTCATTTATTCCCATGAGTCCTTATACAGTCAGGAAAGTTCATAGAGGTTAATTTGCATCTATCCTTAATGGTATCTTCTAAGTCATATAATCAATGCCTTTGGAAATGGAAGCTGAAGAATTCTTTTTTGATTCAGGTAGAAAGAAACAAAATTTATTTTTTAGGTAGCAATAGATGTGTTTAAGATCTGAAGCAGTGAAAAGAGGGCACTGATAGTTACTATATGCGAAATACGTATGATACCTACATATAATTATTACTATCCTGTAACATGCATAGTAATTTTTGTTACATTATTATTATTATTATTATTATTATACAGGATGAGTCACTTTTACTTCTCAAAACTTAAAACTTAGAGTGCATGGGGCAGTGGGTTGCAGAGAGTGGAGAGGAGGGTGAGGGCAGACATGCTGACTGAAGACCCTGAGCCCGGGCAGCAGGGGGAAGGGAGTGGTGATAAGTCAATTCCAGGCAGTGCCTTCACTTAGGGGGATGGGAAAGGCGGCCATGGCAAAGGTCACTGGGCCATCTACCATGGAGAGCTTGGAGATTTATCCTAGAGTCCTTCTACTGGTTGGAAATTCCACATCAGATTAACAAATATGTATTGAATATTTATCGGCCTACCTATATTTGGGTACTCTCATTGTTTTCTTTGTAAATTTTAGATCAATCGAGCTCCAAGCTTTGGAACTGATCAGAAAATAGACTATGATGTGAAAAGGGGAGTGCTGCTAAATGCACTGAAGCTACTAAACATCAGGTAAAGTATTTCCTCCATCTTTTGGATTTTCTTCACCACATTTGACATAGAATGATCATGTGTACATAGGACTGATATGTAATCTTTTATATTTTTTATTTTGAATTTCTTGATCCCATTCTTCAAAGCCATTTCGTTTTTTTCTTTTTAAGTAACTTTTCCTCACCTCTAGCACACTGTTTTTCCTTCTGCCCACTTATTTCTCTGAACCTACAGTAAATATGGTTAAATTACAGTGTTAGTATAATTATTTAATATAGAATATGAGGTTGAATTGGAGAATACCTTAGGAAACCCTCTACATTATCTTTCTCACCTTACAAAAAAAAACTAAAGCAGAGGTCATTCAGAAAGTTAAAAAAAAAAAAGTTAAAAATTAAAAAACAAAACAAAAACACAGATTTCTTCTTTCCATCCAGAGGTCTTCGTATTATATCATGCTACCTGGGTAAACAGAAAAGAAAGGCAGTTGTTAAGCGAGGGTTAACCTTCACATTGAAAAGAATAGACAGGATTTCCTTTATTTTTAAGGCCAAGTAATATTCTATTGTATGTATATACCACATTTTCTATATCCATTCATCCATCGATGAGCATTTATGTTGCTTCCATTTCTTGGCTATTGTGAATAATGCTGCAGTGAACATAGGAGTGGAATATCTACTTGCATCCTAATTTGAACTTTTTTGGATACACCCAGAAGTGGGATTGCTGGTTGCAGTGTGCATGATCATGGATGGCAAATATACAAAGTGCTGTTATGTGGGAAAGCTTTTGGCTTATTATGAAACCAATTTAGTAGAAGTTTAAACTGGTAATGGAGTAGTGAGTTGTCTGCCATTATAAGTAGGCAAAAAGCATTTAGGGTGTTGGATTAAAGGACCTCTGTGAGGTCATTTAAGCTCAGTGATTTAATGATTTCAGTGGATCATAATTGTCATTTCAAGGCCTCTAGAAAAATTATTCGATGCTTCCAAGCATTTATTTATTTTAATAGTTTCCAAGCATGTAGCTGATGCCTGATTGAGAAGATTTATATGGAAAGCATCATTAAAAAAGAGAGCGACATATAAACTTGTTCAGAAATTTTCATAATGTCTCCTTCTTTTGCCTAGTCAAAGAATGATTTGCCTAAATTTTACTGATATTTCAATTATATCAATTATGTTAAAAGAAATGAATAGAAAGGAAAGAGATGTAGAATGGGAATTTTTTGTTTATTTACCTTATACAAGTACATCAAGTATTTTGAATTATTTAAGCAATAAGCCTATACTTTTTTTATTTTGCATAAGTAGGCCTTGCTTTTTTGGGGGGAGGGCATGTCTTTTGAATTTGCCAATGATGGTACAAAAATCAGGACCTTATCTTTGGGTGTTTTTGGTCTTCTTAAAAGAGATATATACCTTTAAACTGAATAGTTTCCAGACTTAAAACTAAGGGAGGATTGGAATTGATCTTTATTATTTTTGTTAGTGTTGTTCCACTAAGAGAATTTCGCACAATTCTTAACATTTAGAGCATATAATAATGAAGCTTAGATAGCAGATATGTCTTTTTACTCCAGCCAGATGGAGAGCTCCATCGGCATATATGTGTTAGGTTTGTATTTCACTGTGGCTAGGTGATGGACACATCATGAGAACATAAGCAGGAACTAAGAACACTAGGAAAATTCTTGCCTGTTTATTAAATATTATTGGGTTAATTTTCATGTGGATTGTTTTAATTTTGGATAGAATAAATTGTTCCATGATCCTAGAAACCCCTATGTATATTTATTTTAATCAGACTATTGCAATGTTTGTTTTTTTCATTTGTGTTATCTTTCTATTCAAGAACCTAAATGGATTTCTATTGCCAATACTTAGTCTTAAGCTCCTTTCATAATGACTTAACCTTAGCTTTGCCATCTTATTTGCTATGTTTCTCCAACTCAAACTGTTTTAGTTAAGCTGATAATCTCATTATTTTTCTCATATATCTGGCCCATTCTCACTGAAGATTTCTTTTATTCTTTACCCTGAATGCCTTTCCTTTCAAATCTCGTCTCTTCTTATGATATTTCCCTTTAGCCCAAGTTAATCTTTTCTTTCTTTGAGCTCCAAGAGGAATTATAGTTTGTATAAATACATGGCTTATCACTTTGTTTACTCTCTTATGCTCTGTGCTGTTTTACTCGGACATGGTTGATTTTTCTTTTCAATTTGATTTAAGCTTCTTGAAGTCAAGGAGTATATACTTTGGTATTCTACACAATTTTTAATACAATGCTTATAGTATGGCTCCATATATACCTCAAATTTCATTTTGTAAATATATACTTTTTATCTCAAGAAAACCCAGAAGAGTGCAGATTGCTCAGGGTATTCCATCACAACCCCTGGGAATACAGAGCCTCATATCGAGAGGTCAGAATTGGTCTTTGTATTTGGATGGCACAATATAATTTGAGTTTAAATTCAAATAATTTTAAGTAAAAATAATTAGTAAAATAGTAATATGTAAAACAAGGGTTTTTGTTTGTTTGTTGTTGTTGGGGTTTTTTTTATAATAAAAAGAAAATCCAATCTTGTATAGTGGGAGTATTCATGGGTTGATAAGAAGAATCCTTTTTTCTCCATAAGTATTATATAGAATCCTTAAAATGGAATCTAGAAAAGATAGTCATAGTCCCATGAGTTCTGTGGATCTGATACTGTATTTGTTAACTAGATTAGATTGCCTGGCCCTTATTTAGAACTAATTCATCGGCCACAGATATATGGTGTTTGTAGCATTTAACGCTACCCTGCCCTTGTAAATTTTTATCCTCACTGGCTTTCTTTGAGTTCTCTTGAGTTCACTTAACTTTGAGCATTCCTCTGTCCTCTCCTATGATTTTACTTACTTTCTTCCCCCTACTTGTCATTTTTCACTGTGTCCTTGTCTGAGTTCTCTTTTCTTCTGTGTCAGTCTCTTCCATTTTTGTGGCATCACTTGTGAGTCAGTGACTGGAGTCCCCAGTCTGCACCTGTATATAGTGAGGTACATATTGGAGCTCCTGCCGATAGCTCTGTCCCACTCTGGAACTCTAGTCTTGTATTTGCAGCTCTCTGCTGACCATGTACAACGGTCTAATAGGGGCTCAGTACATAATGCAGTGAGAGTGACCTGGCTGATAAGGAAGCAAGTAAATGAATGAATGGATAAATGCCCTGATGACACTTTAAGTTCAGTATGGCCAAACTTGAATTATCTTCTCCTTCAATCATCTTCCTCTTGTTGGGTTTTTCTCTTTTTTGTTTCTGCTAAGGACATCAGTTACCTCCAACCCACAAAGGATGAATCTAGTCATATATTTAATGTACATTCTTAGCCTATATTTTACTAGAAGCTAGAGATACAAAAAATGAGTAAAATTTTCTCTCTTTCAGTAGCTCAGTTATTAAGAGGGACACTCTATGCTCGTAGAAAAGTACATACACTTATAATCATTCAAACCTAGTTTTCTGTCTCTCTTTGCTTTGTGAATTAATGGCAGAACCATCCACATAAATGTCCAGGCTAGAAACCTGAGAGTTATCTTTAACTGCTTCTTTTATGATGAACCAACTGAATACTGTCAATGTATGACTGACTAACACTTAACCTCTTAGTCTCTCCAAGTTTAAGGACTTTTCATTTCTCTCCTGGATTATTTTACTGGTTTCCTTCCTTCTTCCAGCACTAACCTCCACCCCATTTTGCAGCTCCCACTCTGTTGCTCTGCAAGTCACTCAACAAGTGTTTCCTGAGTGCCCGCCATCATTGCAGCAAGTGCTGGGAATTCAGTGTCTCCCATGATGCCTAGACTTCTGGCTCGGATTTTTTGACAATACATCATTTATTTACATAACATTTTTAGGTGAGAAAGAGGTTTAGAGGAGTGATGGGGGAAGGTAGAAAGAGAGAGAGTTCAGTTATAAACATGCTAATTTTGAGGTGTTTTGAGACCCAGCAGCATTGTTAAATGGGAAATTTGATACCTAGGGCCCCAGGAGATAGAGATATGTTTTGACAGACATCCATGTACAGATTGACCTTGGATCTAATGGATGAGAGCACACAGTTGGAATATATACGTGTATATTGAGAAGTAAAGAGGGGCACGGGCAAAGCCCTGAGAGATGCCAGCATTTGAAGAGATATTTATAAACTTTGATAGTCTCATCACCTTGTTTCCATACTATCGGATAAACTTGAAACATTGCATCAAGGCATTTGGATCTTTAGATTATACACAAGACAATGTTGGACCTGGCCCTTGCATCTCTCGCCTATCTGATCCCTTTTTGTTCTTTTCCGTGCCATGGAATTAATTTTTCTAATAATGCTTTGTGCTGCTGTTTCACATCTTCATGGTTTTGCATGTATTCTCATTTAAATATGTTTAACTTTGTCCTTCTGGTGAATGTCAACTCATTTTTTAAAATTTTGGTAAAATATACTTAACATAAAATGTACTACCTTAACTATTTTTAAGGGTGCAATTCAGTGGCATTAAGTACATGTACATAGTTGGGCAACCATCAGCACCATCCTTCTCCAGTATAGTTTTCATTGTGCAAAACTGAAACTCTTGAACTCATTAAACAACAATTCTCTACTGATTGCACCAGCTACATGGTGGGGAAGACAGAGGAAACAAGTTCAGAGGAAATCTAGCTCACAACAGGACTTTTCCAATGGAAGTCAGACAGCTGTAACTGAGTTTTCATGATTGGGCAAAAATGAGAAGGACTATGCAGATGTTTTCAAATAAATAATGATTGTTAGGCTAGGATTTCAGAAACAAAAAAGAGAAAAACCCAACAAGAGGAAGATGATTGAAGGAGAAGATAATTCAAGTTTGGCCATACTGAACTTAAAGTGTCATCAGGGCATTTATCCATTCATTCATTTACTTGCTTCCTTATCAGCCAGGTCACTCTCACTGCATTATGTACTGAGCCCC